ATACATGACATCCAGCCGACTCTTAAGAACACCCCCAAAGTCAGCGAAAGATAGAAATAAATTATTTCTAGGACGACAAACTGGAATAAATTTTATGTTTATAACAAACTTCAGCTTAAAAGGATGCCTTGCTACACATGTTCAACCATTAGAAATTTTAACTACAAAACCACACAAGAGCTCCCTTTGACCTCCAATAAGTTGATCTTCAAACAAGTGAATGTATTTATTTCCAATTGAAGCTTGTATCTTCAATCTCTGAAAACATTATCTAAAACTCAAGCGAGACACAAATACACCGTTGAAGTTATAAGAAGATAGAACAATAATTTAGAGTTCGAATGAGAAAACTAACATGTATATCAACGAAGATCATCTTTATTTTAAATTGGCGATTTCTATCCTTCTTACGCCATTTCTTCAGCAGTTTAATTTCAACCACGGGATCGATAACAAAGTTATCTATTTCATAGACTTTTAAAAATCCCCACATCGTAGCACAAAGGCAAAAAAAACAAACAGATCGTAAACCCAAAAAGAACCAAATCTTGTGACAATATCGCTTATTTTACCTTATACAATTTGGCAATAGCTAGGTCGTCTGTGCCATGTGGCGATAAACATATTAAGAAATCGGTAGCATTTGAAGAAAAACAAATATATACAATACCATATAGTATTATCTTATATTTGTTTTGAGAGATTTTATATTTACAGGTATAACACACTTTTCAATTTTGGAACCAAATTTGTATATCCAATATATAAAAGAGTTGAATTGAAATACACTCAAAGAGATATAATTCTGAATCAATACAAATAAATAGCTCAGTAGATTTAACAATATCTTTTAATGTCCTATAGAATTCTTAGAAATGAACTCATATGGTCTTCTACTTTGGCTTATATATCTTTCGGTTTTCTTCTTCTTCTTCATCGCTTTCATCATCTCCTCTAACTTTTTTTTTTCTTTATAATTTTGGCACTTTTAAATTATTATTTTTATTTCTTCATCATCTTCATATTCATTTTTTTCCAACTTCTTCTTCTTCTTCTTCTTCTTCTTCTGCTTTTTCATCTTTTGAATTTTTTTGCTTGTCTTCTCATTCAAATTATCTTTATCATTTTCATCTCATTTATACTTCTTATTATTTGTTGGATTTATTTTCTTAATTTTCTCGTCTATCCTTCTTCTATACTTTTATTTTTTTCATTCTCCAATGTATTTATTTTACTTCTTTTTCCAGTTTTTATTATTATCCAACTCTCTTACGTTCCTCTCCTTCATCTTTAAATTTGTCCATGTCTTCTTCCTCACCTTCTATGACATTTTCTTCTTTCTTTTCTATATCCTTTGAATTTTTTCATTGTCATGCTCTCACTTTTTGCATTCGTCATCGTCTTCATCTCATATAACTTTACCTTCTTCTTTTTCTACCCATTTATTTTCTATTGTCTTCATTTACTCCGACTTCTTATTCTTCCAATTTTTATTTACTTTATTCTACTTCGTCTTTTTCATATTTCAGTTTTCTTTTTCTTCTATTTCATCTTATTTTTTTTTTTTCTTTTTCCCCGAGTTCTTACTCATATCCCTTTCTATTTCTTCATCGTTACCTTATTATCTATCTTTTTTTCCTTTCCAATTTTATTCATTTTTTGTTGTCTATTCTAACTTCTTATCCACTGTTTTATTATTTTCCTCTTCTTACTTGTCTTTTCATTCTTCATGGTCTTCATCTCCTACAGCTTCTACTTTTTCTTTATTTTCCAGTTTTCGTTGTTCTTCATTTTATCGTGCCCACTCATTTTATCATCTTCATCTTCTTAGGTTTCTTATTCTTCTCAAAAAATTTCAGCTCGACTTCATATTCTTTCTCGTCTTAACTCTTCTCTACTTTGTCTTCTTCATCTTTTGTTTTTTTCTTTCACTTCCATCTAAAAAAATTATTTTCTATTTCTTTTCTAACTTCTTATTTCTCTTCTTCTGGTTTTTTTTTCTTTAGAAGTTCCTTCAATTCTTCTGCATCAACACTTAGCACTCCGATAATAAACTACAAAACAAGTCAAACGTAGAATGTACAATAGTCTATGTGCATTCAGTTTTAAGGTATTAAAATCACAGAGACTCACAAGCTTAAACCTCTTAAAGATAGTGAATTTGAAATCATTATGATCATGGACCAAACCAATTGAACAACATGTAAACCGTATGATTGTAAAAAAAAAAAAAAAAAACTCAACACAAACAGATACTTACATAGAGAAAGAGATGATGAAATCTTGAATATGTCACTCAAGAATAAGCAACCCGATTGGATATCCATCCTTGGATTTCACCATCGATCTTGTTGCAATTGCTGATTTCCAAATACAAACCCATAAAATTGTAAGAAAAAAAACAAATATGGAAAAAGCAACTGATTATCGGAAGAGAGGAAAACAATAGATTCTTTTGGTTTGTGCTTGAGGCAACGTACCGAGCATTTCAAGGATTGGAGCGAACCAATGAATATTCAAAGGAGCAATAGGGATCAAGAGTACATAGTTCTTTGATTAGGTTTCTTCCATGTGAGAATCCACAAAGTCACAAAAACGGTTTTTATGATCTACAGAAACAATGTTGTTTACTTGAAACGTCCTGCATATTAAAAACATAACCATAATGGAACATTAGCAAATAGTATTAAATAATAGTGAGGACTCCAATCAAAACATTAGACAAAATGCCCTCAACAACTCACAGTTACAAACTAAAACGATACACGTGACAAAATCAGAGTAGTATCTTCATTTTCACCTCTCTACATTCGACATTCATAGTAGAATGAAGATTTTCCAGAGTTGAAGATTGATATTACCTAAAATGCATGGTTTCAACTACCAAGGAACTCTCTCTACCAACATCGATAAGAACCGTGAGACACGAATGACCATGTTCGAACTGTAAAACAAGACAAAAAAAAAAGCAGAGAGAGTGTCAATGTTAGGAAAGATCAAATAGCGGTGGATGTGAGATAGAGTTTTCTACTTAATGCAAAGCGAATATGCTACTCGAGAGCTATAAAACACCTAGGGTTTTTCCAAAAATATTAATCACGTTTAAAATACGTTACCTTTATAAAATTTGATAACATGAGCATAAAATCAACCACAAATCGATGAGAGATCTAGAAGTAGCAAACCAAATATAAATCACCAAAAAATCGATGATATTCATCCATAGAGTTATCTCCTCATTTCATCAAAGTATTTTCTTATACTCTTTGGCTCTTTATATGTTCTGGGTTTTGCTTACACGTTCTTCTTCTCCTATTTCGATGGCCTCTTCTGAATCTTGAAAATCTTATTCGATATCGTATCTTTAATCCACACAAACACATAAAAACATGAAAATGGAAGATCATACTCAACATGAAAAAAATCAAAGAAATAGAGAAAAAAAAAAAACAAAGGCTGAGCTATAGCCTAAAATAATTTGCAGAAAAAATCGGTCGCTTTAGACTTCAATACCAAGAAAACAACAATTTATTATCATCTCTTTCCCTAAAATTGACACACTTACTATCGTTGAAACTATCAATTTATCTGCTTCAATCTAAAAAGACAATTTATTCACCAAAAAATTACCAATTTATTCAACTCATCGAGTTTGATGAGATGGTTGGCCAACAATCCTACATAGATAAAAATCACAAAATAAAGATCAGACCACAATAAAAGATAGAAAAACGTAATACTAACTTCAACTCCAATAATATAATTACCAAAACCTTCAACTCCAAAATATAATTATGTATATCGATCAATTTATGTTATGTAAAGATGTATCTCGGTAATAAAAGAAACACCGATCAAAACCCAATTTAAAGCCACAAAGAATCAAAAGAATCAAACATAAGGTCAGACGGCAGTAAAAGTCAAACAAAAATGGGAGTAACCGTGCATGCTCACAAGCTCGTTCACGTTCTTACCCCAAACCAAATTACACACCTGAACAAAAAAAACGGTTATAAAAAAAACACGATTTATTCAAAGCCAGCATAAGCAAATTTTTACCTGACTATTTGTGTTTATGCAACTTAAATGAGTGTTCGTTGTCGTGTTCCAGAAACAGATGCATCTATCAGCAGTGCGACCACATGAAGCAAGAACTCTGAAGATGCGGGGACCAAGCGATGGCTTTAACCGCTGATGTGTGTTCACAATATCTTAAACCAGGTGTGTTGAATGTTGGTTCCATACAAAAAGCTGCAAGATCAACGAATTGTTACTCGTGTTTTCAGGATCGTAATGTATTTTTCAAAGACATAAAATGTGGTTGGTTGAGATTAGTCTCGAGTTAAGTTGTGTTTCTTGGGAATCTTGGCATTTGGAGGAGGTAGTAGCGCTTCAGTTTTGTGTGGTTGCTTGTCTATGTGCTAGCCGACATCGGGGAGAGATCTTGGTAGAGTGAGTAAGTTTTCGTGGTTGCTTTAGTGTGTGTTGTTCCGGCTTAGTGTTGGTTTTTATGTTTGGTTGGCTGAGCGTCGTTACTAAGATACTGAGGATGGTCTAGTTCGAGCCTCTTTCAACATCTTAAAGTTCCTTCATTTTTGCTCGGGCATCCAATGAAACAGCTTCCTTTTGTTTAGTGATCGAGTCTCCATCCTTTCAAGTTGCTTTTCCTCCATCGACTCAAGCTTGGGCTTCTACTTCTTGGCTAGCTCCCAAGCGTTGTATCGCTACTTCATCGTCTTCGGAAAGGACTCGACAAAGTACCGATTGTCTTATGCTTCCATGCTTTTTACCTTTTTTTGCCATGGGACCATTTTGAATATGTGTTACATTTTGGTCTTCTCTGATTTGTAAAACCTAAACATTTCGTTTTTAATGATATTTACATTCATAGCAAAAAAAAAAAAAGACGTAAAATGAAGGATTTTATTGTTTATCTTATTGTTTACGATAAATTATTATTTTTAATTTCACAGAAGAACCTATGGGATTTATCAATAGTCGGAGAAAAGAGTTTGAGAGAGAAAAGCGGCTCAGGAGCGATGGAGGAAACAACAAAACAAACACAAAAAGGGTTTAGGGTTTAACAAATCAAATTAAATAAAAGTTCCATTTTATTTTGGGTCAGAACTGTTATTTTCGGTAAAGGTGAACATTTGGTTCCCCAGTTAAAAATAATTCGGTTTATTAGTGCTTTCTTCCTACAAAGTTAAAAACTGAATACTTTCGTTCAATTTTTTTATCATTTAAATAGACAAAACAATATTGTTAGTTATATATGTAAGAAATGTAAAATTGTAAATTATTGATAAGAAATTTGAGCTGTCTCGTGTTTAATCCCCTCTCAGAACTTCATTCATATTCATTTTGTCAACACATTTTAGATTTCTCCGAATCTTAACTCTATGTAACTTCAACCTATCTTCAAGACTGTTTCCCAACGACTCCTTTCTCGGACAAAACCTTTTTCAGCTCGCCGCTCTTTTGCATCTCCAAGACAATGTCTGACCCACCTAGAAGTTCTCCTTTCACGTAGAGCTGAGGATAGCTCGACCAGTTTGAATACACTTTGAGCCCTTGACGAATTTGTCATCCAAGAGTATATCGAAACTCCCAAACTCAATCTTTTCTTGGTTCAGAATCTCAACTACTTTCCCGCTAAACCCACACTTTGGTTCTTCTGGTTTTCCTTTAATGAACAGCATCACTGGATTGGAATTGACAAGGTTGGAGGGTCTCGCTTAGCCCTGTGTTGCCTGAAGTTATCCCTCATCCTTTTACAGCTTCATCTTGACTTTCTTTTGAACCAACCGTAGTGACGATTCCCATATCGATGAATGCTTCTTTCAGCTCACCACTCCCGTGCATCGCTATCGCGATATCAGACCCACCAAGAAGCTCTCCATTGCAGTAGAGCTGAGGAAACGTTGGCCAGTTTGAGAATTTCTTCAAACCTTCTCTCACTTCGTTGTCAGAGAGTATATCGAAGCTCCCGAAATCAACCTTCTCCTCTTTCAAAATGTCGACTACTTTCCGGCTAAACCCGCACCTAGGCTCTTCAGGTGTACCTTTCATGAACAACATGACAGGGTGAGAGTTGGTGAGCTTTTCCAAACGGGTTTTGAGAGCATCCGTGGTGGTGGAGACAGGCTGAGCTCGGTCTTTCGCGGTGGCTTTTGCATTCTCCTTCACGGTTTCGAGAATCGTTGGCTCTGCAGCTAACCCTAGGCTTGCAGGAACAGCAGACTCAGAAGAGGTAGTTGAACCGGCGATTTTGTCAACCTTGTTGGCTAAACTCGATGGATCTGCCGCCTCAAGTGTATGCACAGTTTTGCCATCCTTCAAAATAAGAAAACTCACAGTCAGAAGAAAGTAACAAACTTTCAGAACAATCACAGCAGTGCAGGTGAAAAGATTCAAGCTTTTTAAACAAAGCAAAAGCAATAAGATTTGATTTCGTCGACTCTGTACAACTTTCTATTTGATTACTGACAGATTACAAAATAGTTTACACAATGATGAGAGAGCTTCGAAAGTTTGTCTACGCGTATACACATTTTTGTTTAAACACTCTGTTCTTAGTTACAAATGACAAACCATAAACACAAAGAACGATCATGGCTTATTCTTCAATAAGATGATGTAAGTACTTTATATAACATAAATTATAAAGGATTGAAAGGAAAAAGAATCTTACACCTTACATTACATTGGTTACAAACCCCAAAGGTTTTTTTTGTTTTGTTTAATTTTTGTCAGGTTCTCATTTCTCAGAGCACTGTTCAAGCCGGACATGGTGAGGACATGCTCTTTGTGAAAGAGGACATGCTCTTTGTGAAAGAGGACATGCTCTTTGTGAAAGAGGACATGCTCTTTGTGAAAGAGGACATGCTCTACGGCTATCATCAGACCCAACCTGCTCCATATGTACCAGAAACCGGCCTGTTAGTACATCAAACAACCGAAAAAACAAAAAGAGTACCAAACTGAGCAACACAGAGACACATTCCCAGAAATCTAGATGAAGACACGAGGAAAAAACCAAAGAGGAACATAAGCAAGTGATTTAAGATTTCCTTGTCAGCGGATGATGTTGAAATTATGTGTTTGTTCTTGATGCAGCCATTGTAATCACCTCAAAAATAAAGCGGTGACCCCTAAAAATGTAGGGCAAAGAAATGGCAGCAAAAGCCAAAAACGCCATCGCTAATCCATAATACCATGTAGTAAAGTCACACGACGCATCTCCCCGCTGATGACCTGCTGGTTTGTCAAACATGTTAGTGATAACAACGAAAAACATATTCATGTGTCTGTTGTTATATAGCTCACATAATGAGTAGTCTTGGCGAAAAGACAGAAAATTACATATTTTAAAACTTTTGTTCTGAAAATGCCACATTCATACCTTTTCCTGAATCATCCAATGACAATTCTGTTTGCGATGAAAGAGAACATGTTTAAGCTGCAGTTTTCTTGCCGTATTGATACACCAGAAGTATAAAGCCACCATATAAAAGGAAGAAGATTGTAAATGTCCATTCATATATCAAAATCAAGCCAGTCCATGGCATGATTTGCCTTGGCACAATCATAAAGGAAACTCCAATGGATGTCAAAACGGCCACAAAACAGACAACAACTGAAACAGCCCCCAAATACTGAGGAGCCTTAGCGTGCGAACCAGTGTGGAGCTGTAGTGATAAAGATTTTAACATTTTTAGCATTTAGAAACGCAAAAAGGGCAGGTAAATGGTCAAATCTGTGCAAAAAAGGCTAACTTGATAGTTGGAATTCATGGTAGATACACCACTATAGCCAAGAGTTCCATTAGATCTGACTTTGTAATAAAGATGTCTGATCTGATTGCATACAGAGCTCCTGCACGATGAACCCAAGAAGTCACGTCCCTGCAACAGAAAACAGAGGATACAAAGTGAAACTGAGATCCAAATGAGATAAATTTAGCTTAGGTGAAGAAACGGTTGTGTACAAGAAGAAGAAGAAGCCTAACCTGTATGGAACGGTAAAGGCAGAACAAAAGCCCACAGAGTGGTAACAAAAAAAGGAACTTGACAACGAATTCATCATTTGGGGATCTTCCACCTCCAGTTCCAGGCAGAGTCTCCTCAAGCCCCACCCTAATGCTCTGCAGTTGTCAAGGTGAAACCCAACTCAGAAAACTCACTCAAAATAAACACGCACCAGACAAGAAGACCTACATGCCACGCATCAACAGGTTTCACGAGCCATGCTGTCCACCAGTCCCAAGGCTTAAGAGGGCCCAGAGTGTAATGAATAATGTGAAGTTTGCTGTCATCGACCATCCACTGCATAAATAACGAGAATCTTAAGATGAAGATATTCTGTACTAATGAAAATCAATCTTAAATCCACCATACACGTTCCAGATCACATCACTAGTCTTAAAAAGAGAACAGAAAAATAATTTATGAAACTCAAACTTGAAACTGCAACTACCTTGTTAGCAAGCATATAAAGACCAACATCTGCATTGTACAGCGTAGAGAGCCTCTCCATTTTAGGAACCGGTCTTGTTTTTATGACTTCAGGGGACAAAGTAGGATCGAAAACACGATCATTCGGGAAATCTGGATAATACGAATTCAAGAACCCTTGATCTCCACCGGTATAAGACGACAAGGTCTTCACTTGCTTCATCATGTCATTGAATAAAGCTTCAGAGAGTTCAACGACCATGACTCCAGAGTTGAGCCTCTCAGAGTGCTTCAAGTTAGCGCAAAACTTGGAGCAATTAAACAGATCCTTAATGTTCTTTACCACGATGGTATCAGCATCGAGATACTGTGAAAATCAAAAACACGACATATAAACATAAACACAAATATAGGAAAAAAGCTCTAAGAATTGCAATAACACTAATTGGTACTTGTTACCTTTCTTGTAATCAGTCATATTATATATTTTAAGCTTCGTATAGACACCCCAGAATCTATTGGGATGAACTTGGTTTGGATTTGCCAGTAAAGTAATCTTCTCTACTTTCCATCCATCAGCCTGCATAAGAGAAGTGAAACAGATTCAACTCAAATCTTCAGAAAGAGAAAACCCTCAGGAACTCAAATCAATGTAAACAAAGGAATCATTTTGGTGCTCTCATAGGATCTAACGAAAAATGAAACGAAAATGAAAGCCTTTCTTTTTAGATCATTTAAGCTTCTAAGAATAGAAAGGTTGTAGAAATGAGAATCCCCAAGCACCTTTAGAAGCTTATTAGAGTAGTCGGAAACACCATCAGAGACCAAAACGACCATATCCTTGTTAGATCCGGTGTCTCGGATATCAGACGAATGCTTTTGAACCTGAAGAAGACAAAATACGGCACAGCAGTGACAGCGTAAGCCTCAGATATCTCATGATTCTCCTCAGCTTCTACCTGAGAAGAGAAGCCATAAACATCAAAAAAAAAATAGCTAATTACATAGGAAAGAGGTGAAATCGATTTGTCATTGGGTTTCAGAAAATAGCAAGCGACGAACCCTTAAAAAGTGAGCTCGAGGGAAATCGGTAGCGAGATGAGAGAAAACTTGATCCATCTGCTTCGAAGCATCACGACGGCTGAAGCGATATTTTTCACCGATCTTTCGATTTAGAGATTACGCAGTCGCTTCTCTCTCTCGGAAGAATCTCGAACAATTTAATCTGATTTGCCCTTCCATACGCAAGGATAATCTTTTTTGTTGGTAAGCTACGCAAGGATAATCTGATCTTTTTAGGAATTTTGTTTTAATTGAAAACGTGTGAAATGACAATAATAGAGGATATCCAAAATCTTTTAAATTACAAATCAATCAAATAATAGTTTTTGGGTTTTGGCTCAAACCTAAATTAAATTCGGTCCAAATCTAAATCAAAATTTAGCTCAAACCCAAATCAAAAATAACTTCCAAATCTCTAACTTTTCGATCAAACCGCTAATTTTTACAATTTCTTTTCATCTTTTCCGATAAACCACAAATTTCCACTTTTCATCTTCTCTGAGAACCCAAACCACCGATCAAATCTATAATTTATCAATCTCATGGCGCATACGAAAGGGCTTCAGTTGAGAACAATATCTTCGCCGGATCATACATCATCGCCGTCGCCGCCGTCGAGTTTAAATCCGCCGGCGAAGAAGCAAACAGAGGCGAAGAAGCGTACTGCAGCACCGCGAGGAAAAGAGAAGAAGCCGAAAAAGAAATCAAAATCAACAGATGAAACTTCTAGTGCTCCGCCTCCGCCGGGTCCGGTGACCGAAGGAGAAGAAGAAAATCTGCTGCCGTCGAGTTCAAATCCGCCGGCGAAAAAGAAAAGAAAGAGGGAGAAGCGTCCGGAGGCACCGTGAGGAAAAGAGAAGAAGTCGCGGGAGTCAAAATCCAGTGCTCCGCCTCCGGCGGCTCCGGTGACTGAACCAGCAGAAGAAAGTCTGCCTCCGGTGGTGCAACCGGCAACCGGCCCGCCTTTGATTTCAGAACCGGCAATCGGTTCATCGTCGCAACCACCACCACCACTGATAAACCCTAATTTGTTTTATAATTGGGTCCGACTAGTATGAGTAGTTCAACTAGTTCAACTAGAACGGTTATTATAACTACTGTAATTATTTGAACTAGTATAATTAGATTGCATGAAATGTCGAGTTTGAGTAGTAGGAGTAGGTCAACTAGTCGTACTAGATTGTAGTCATACTAATCGTACTAGTCGTACTAGTTTGACACTAGCTGGCGTAGTAATCATAACAGTTGAGCTAGTATTCGTACTAGTTGTACTAGTTTGACAGTAGTTGGCCTAGTAATCGTACTAGTCGTACTAGTTTGACAGTAGTCGTACTAAATCGGTTTTCTTATTTTTGCAGCATGATGAAGATGATATAGAAGAACCAATGCGGCCTCTCGGATATTTCTTCAATCCCACCGAATACCAAAAGGGATGTAAGCTAAGTACCAAATGCTTGCAACACAAATTTAAGGAGGAAGTATTTCCAACTTTGGAAGAGGATGAGAAGAGTTGGTTTCTGAACCACCCGCAGTTCAAGCACATGTTTCACATGAAGACTTATGCAACAAGAAAGGTGATGGGGCTGTGGATGTTGCTTCTATGCACGGTACAAACGGAGAAGGGTAGACAGGCTTGGTTTGTGGTAAATGGAGTGCCCATTAGATACTCCATGAGAGAGTATGCTCTCCTCTCGGGACTGTACTGCCACGAGTACCCAGCGAATTACCCGAAGTTAGGTGGCGAGAGATTTGCTAGGAACCATTTTAAAGACGAAAAAATTACAGCTGAAGTTGTGCTAAAAGCACTTCAAGGGATGAGGTATAATGACACTAGGAATCGGCTAAGGATGGCTGTCTTGTACATCTTAACGACAGTGATAAGAGGGAGATCAAAGCATGGAGTAGCCATAGAGCCTTTCATTCTGAGGATGGTTGATAATCTCGAGCTGTGTGAGACATTCCCGTGGGGACGATTTACTTTCGATGACAACATCAAAGAGATTTATCATATGGGGAACCATTTCAAAGGATCGATCCCAGAGAAAGTGAGTTGGACGTTTCCTGGGTTCCTCAACCCTTTGGAAGTAAGTCGTATTTCCTACTGTTTTAATTAGTCTGAATAGTACAACTCGTCCGACTGTTTTAATTAAATATGCATATTTTTCGTATTAATAGTATGACTACGTCAACTAGTGCGAATAGTACAACTAGTCTAACTGGTCTAATTATATGTGCAGATTTTGGCGTTTGAATGTATTCTAACCCTGAAGACACAATTTCGGGTGAAAGCAACAAATGCAGAAGATGATTGTCCAAGAATGTGCAAATGGGAGTTCACGCAGACTGGCACAACTGGATATTCGCTGGGTTTAATAAATGAGCATCTTGGAGATACAAAGGTATTTTACTTTTTGTTATTGGATTCAATTGTAATCGTACTAGTCGTACTAGTTTGGCAGTAGTTGGCCTTGTTTGACAGTAGTTGGCCTAGTATTCGTACTAGTCGTACTAGTTTGATAGTAGTTGGCCTAGTTTGACAGTAGTTGGCCTAGTATTCGTACTAGTCGTACTAGTTTGACAGTAGTTGGCCTAGTTTGACAGTAGTTGGTCTAGTATTCGTACTAGTCGTACTAGTTTGACAGTAGTAGTACTTGTATTCGTACTAGTCGCACTAGTTTCCCAGCAGTATACTTAATCGGTTTAATTTTTTTTTTCGTTATACTTCAGGACATTACTAGTATTTTGACTGCTGAGGGTGAGGAAGTAGATCTCATAGAGAGGGCCATGGAAGAGACATAGTGGCAGGACTTTGAACTGAAGGATGATTCAGATGTAGCTGACCCTATTGTTGATGGGTGGAACAAGTTTATAATCCGCCAACAAGGGAAGATACTGTGGGAGGATGTCTTCATGGCCGATGTTCAATCCCGAGTTATCGAAAAAGAAAATGTCCAAGAAGAAGATGTCCAAAACAAAGGTGAAGCAATAGGTGAGCCAGCTGAACAAGAACCTGCAGTTGTGATTGAGCCAATAGCCGAGCAATTAAAAAGGATGATGAAATTAATGGAAGAAGGGTTCAAGGAAATTAATGACAAGATTCAAGGTTTGGATACAAGGTTGGTAGCTGTGGAGAGCTTCGTGGAAGAGCAAAGAAATCCTCTAGATTCTCAGTATGGTGGATATGATGATTTCGGTAAGAAATAAATTATGAGAATTTTTTTGTTTTGAATATTGAAGTTTATTTGACTTTTTTTTTATTTCACAGAGAAAACGGCTGAAGAGGAGATGACGGAGGCTGCTGCAGCTGTAGAGAGGGGATGGCGGAGAGAGCCGCGGCTGAAGAGAAGGAGAAGGCGGAGAAGGAGGCTGCAGAGAAGGCTGAGGCGGAGGCTGCTGCGGCTGTAGAGAGGGAGAAGGCAGAGAGAGCCGCAGCTGAAGAGAAGGAGAAGGTGGAGAAGGAGGCTGTGGAGAAGGAGGCTGCGGAGAAGGCCGAGGCGGAGGCTGCGGCGGCTGTAGAGAGGGAGAAGGCTGAGGCTGCAGAGAAGGCTGAGGTTGAGGCTGCGGAGAAGGCTGAGGCGGAGGATGCTGCGGCTGCGGCAGCTTCGGAGATGATGGAGGCTGCGAAGACCGTGGAGACTGTGGCGGCTGAGGCTAGTGCAGCTGCGGAGATAGTGTTAGCGGCTGTGGATAAGGCTATGGAAAAAGCTCTAGCTGGTAAGTGGAGATTTATCTTCCTTAATGAGCTAAACCATTGGAGATTTATTTTTGATATAATGAGTTTCATCGATTTTTGTTTATTTTTGTTAGGTAGAGACTATGCCGATACAGTCCAAACTCCTAGGAAGGTGAAAATCAAGAAACGACCTAGTCTTCAAGCCCAAGTAGCAAAGAAATTAATTAAGAGGAGTAAGACTCCCAAGCAAAAAAGGAAGGTTACTCATTCACGTTTGGTGAAGGATTGTTATTAAGTAACTTAGGCTTTTGAACTTATGTTGTGTCATTATCTGCTATGTTAGAATTTGTCTTTGTGTTTTTCAGGATTTGGACATATATATTTTATGCAAGTCTTTTTTTTATGTGTTGAATTAAAAGGTACGACTAGCAGAACTATACCAACTAGAACTGAATTTTAGAAACGTGTGGCAGCAAAAAAAACGTGTGCATGCAAAAAAAACATGTTTAAAATGAAGTTAAAAATGGATAAAATATGAAGTTACGTGCGCCGTCAAAAGAGGAAAGGAATATCTTTGCAAGTTTGCGCCGTCAAAAAAAAAATTGAATCCAGTTTTTTTATAACATAGTTGTACCCAGTTTTGAGTTGTACCCTAAAGATATAAAGTTGTAAAATTTTGTAATCAGTAGTATCATACCTAAATTAAACATTTTTAGCTGTACTTGTAAAATTTAGTAAATAAACTAATATTCTAATGCTATAAATAGTATAAAAATACAAACTTTCATGGTTTTCATGTTTGTGTGGTTAAGATTTACAAAGTAACCTTAAAAGTATTAGGTAGATTGTGTAGACAACACATTTTCATGGATCAAACATTTTCGTGGATCAAATTTATTTAACTATGAAATGTTCAAATATGTTTGCAAATGTTCTATGGCCTATTTTATATGGAAAAATGTTTACAAATACATTTACAAATTGTGTTATTAACATTTTTGTAGAAAGCATAGTCGTACCAGTCTTCCCAGTTGGCTTTTAGTACAACTAAAATATAGTTGAACTAGTTGTACTTGAAACGAGTGGTACTAGTCGCACCAGTCGTACCAGACATATTAGACGCGGAATATAGAGTTGTACTAGTGGTGCCTAGTCATACCTGATAGAAATAACATGGATACAAGTCTCGGTCATACAAAGTTGCACACATAGTTCAAATAATTTAAAACAAAGACATAAATTACTATTCACTTCCATCAATCCCAAACCATTGAGCCCAGCGTCCACCTCTCCCTCTTCCTCTTCTTCCTCTTCCTCTTCCACGATGTTCTCCAGCTGATGAGAATCTTTTCTGTTGCGGTTTTCTTTACTTCATATTCCGGAGGTAAGACTTCTTGTGCTTGTATCTCTTCAGGTACAACCCATTCAGACATATGAGGAACTGGATAGATTATCCTGGAGTATGCCAATGCCCATAGCTCTACCAAATAATATTTGGAGCAAAACTCTTGTAGATGAAGTTCCCTATCTCTGCTCATATGGATGGCAGCAGCAATTGCATGCACACATGGGTATCTATCTAT